TTTATCATCGAGGCGTCGAATGAATTTATAATTTAAATTACAATCGGATCTCTTGGTACTCGGTTATTTTAGAAATTTTAAATAAATTAATATTATTATAATTTTTTTTATTCAATAATAGGAATAAAAAAAGTTTGATCGAGAATTTTATGTTAGAGATCAAAAAAAAAGTAATTTAAGAAATTTTAAACGAACAATTCTTTATAAATGTATTATATATTAATATATTTTTAATAATTACCGTGTAACGATAATCCTGGGATGTATTAAAAGCGCTGAAAGCAAGAGCGGGTACGTCGGTTTCGGGTAAAGGGTCCTCTCCCCTTTCGATCAACAGCACGTCCCAATCCTTCACTTCCGTCAATCTGTGCGCCAAAACGGATCCTGCCGTTCCACCCCCGACTATCACGAAATCGAATTCCTTGTTCGAATTTAAAATCTCTTTCGTACGATCGATGGGGTATTGGTGTGGATTGTTTAAGTCGTAATAGGAGGCCATTATGGTTTGCAGCAACAGAGTGAAAATGGAGGCTTGATGGTGGGACGATGACATCCCTGGCGCCATACACGAGTCCATGTTTCTTCTTCTGAATTTGTTGACCGGTTTCTTTGCACGAAGTAAAAATTTAATACAATAAAATTACACTTTTATATTTTTACATCTCATCGAAATTTGATAATTTCGAAGAAATTGATTTTAAATATCTCGATCGATATTTATATTATTCTTCGAGATAAGTTTCTTCACTGTGTTCTTATTTTATTATTTAAATTTGAATAAATATGAAAAATTTAATTTTTAAATTTTATTTATTATTATTAGTTCTTTCGAAACAAGATTATTTTATCCAAATATATAACAAAACGAGAAATATAAACTACTTGTTCATTGATTAAAAACGTAATTGAAAATGAAATTTAACCAACAATACATTTATTTCCCCATGTACAAGCTCCACAGATTTATATAGACTGGCGAGCTGATTATTCATGCGTTGTCATAATATTTGAAAGTTAGTAGTTTTAGTTTCTCACGTTGGATGGCGCAGTTGACCTATTTTTATTATTTTTCTCCATAGAGAAATCTGAATAATTATTTTCAATGTATATATTTAATTTTATTTATAAATACGAAAAATTAAAATCGATCGACGAAAATTTAAATATTAAATAAAATTCCAAAAATTTTATAGGTTTTTTTTTCTATCATGTTATAATAACAAATTTGATAAATACTTGTAAAAAAAATTGATATGTTAGATACAAGTATTCCTTGAGTATGTTTCAATTCCCTTACCTCGAATAAGAACTTTGCTCTCCAATTCTTTTGCTGTTAAAGTTCAGTTTACATTTGAATACGATAATGTATCACTGTCTTATATATACTATATATGTACGTACAACTTCTTCCCTTTTTCATGGATGTATTCTTTCTACAGAAAAATTATGACTCGAAAAACTTTATCGCATTTCAAATATAATGCGTTCAAGAAAAAATTGAAGGGTTTTTTAATTTTTTATTTGTCGTGGAAAATAATATAATCGTTAATAAAGAATAAATAATTAATTCATTTATTGTATATTATAATCTTGCCTAATAAATCTTATCGATAAAACTCGTTTATTGATCGAATGACTCGTGGAAATTTAAATTTAATTTAAAAACTATTCGAAGAAAAAAAAATACTTTTTGAAAAATAAATATATATACTAAGGAAGAAAGGAGAAAAATTCTTCGTAATTTATTTATTTATTTTATTTTCTCAATGTTCAAGGTATCCATAATAATAAAAGATACCTTGAGTTGTCGATTATTAACGAATAATTGTCAATTTGTGTAAAAAAAAAAAAA